TAGACCCGGAAGTTCCTATAACATCAATCATTAAAACCTGAGCTGCACAAAAAGCCTTCCCCAGGTAATCAGCAGCAAAGCAGCAATTTAGCTCAACCACAAAGCTCAAGTACTGGTTCCCAAAGGAAGTTCCCCCATTTTAGAAGTCAGCAAAAGACAACAAATTAGTTCCAGTGCAGAGTTTAAGTGGTGGGAACAGCAAATAATCCAACACAGAACTGAAAGAAAAAAGTACCTGCAACCAGAGACAATGTTTGATATCAACTAGTAAAGATCTCATTTCACCAAAGGACACCTATAACACCTAGAAGGACCAGAAGTCTCCTGGGCTACCAAGCCAGAAAGGGTGGTGGGCTGGGGGCCTCAACCATCCCCCCCAACACCCACAATCAGTCCTAAGGGTGGGGGCCAAGGGCCTCAGCCCTGACCCCCCCAACACATGCAACCACCCCAGAGACAACCACCAAGCTGCAGCAAGAAGGACCCCAGGTTCCTGAGCTAGGGGGGGTGGGGGGGTGATGGCTTTTGCCACATCCCCCTGACATCTGCACCCAGCCTGGCAACGACCTCGCCACTGCTGGAAGTCTCCCCCACCCCCCCATCTCCCCTGTGGGAATGAGGGGGGAGCCACAGGCCTCAATCCCACCCCTCCTCCTTGCACCTTCTTCCACCCCATTTCCTTCCCCTTTCCCACTCCCTCCCAACTGCTCTGCAACATTTTAGAATGTAAAAAATAATATTAATAAAGTAAAATAAAAAGATAATACGAATCTTTCCATTAACTTTTTGAAGTACCCTTGTATGTGTATGTACACAACACATTTCAGCTTCTGTAAATAAAGATTAAAAAAAAATTTTTTCTGAATTTCTCAAGGGTGCAAATATGGGTTTTGTGCATGACATCATTTTTTACAATAGAATGACAGAACAAAATTTCAAACTTTATTTTCAAAATGCTCTTTTAATTATGAATTTGTTTTGAAAAGCACTTTGCCACTTAAAATTTCACCTTTACTTTGAAATGACAGGTTAAGTACTACCACCCAAAATCTGGCTAGGTAACAGCCGTTGACCTATCACAGAACGGGGCAGCAAACATAGCACTTTGTACGATATGGTACACTTATCTTTTTGTAAAAGAAAAATTGAATTGTACTTTATGTTCTTCAACTCTTTTCCAGTGGTAGAAAAGATTTTTAGCTTCACTCTAATTTGTTGGCAAAGATTCTACCATTCAGACTGGTGAGCTTGTCAATCTATTTACCAGGCCACACAAAGTGGAATACTCTGAAATACACTGAAAACAAATGAACAGTCAACTGGCTCCTCTGATTTGTAACACTCACAACGCCTGACCACCAGACTAAAGGATTCCATCTTTGTAAATTCCAGATCATCAAACTATATGGGCACGTCAGCCCGTTATTTCACCTGTGAGGCCTCACTTCTCCAGTTTTTAAGATAAAAAATAAGCAGAATTACTAACACTTTACGTTCATGCCTCAGAGGATAATCTGCCACCCCCTCCCCACCTTATATTAGGTCCCTTTGTGTATACAAAGATGAACAGAACATGATTCCTTTCAGAAGCCTGGAATTTAATAAAAGAACAGACAGAAAATCAGAATTGGTCCATCTGGAATACCTCCTTCTTTCATGATTCTTCCTACAGATTTTTTGTTTTAGTCTTTGTATTACCACGCCAAGTCAATCACTAAAAAGCCTTACTATTTCCAAGTTTCTTCAACAACTCCAAAAAAGGTTATCAAGTCTACAGATCAATTTATATGGAATTAACACTCATCTCCACAAATCTTTAATCAGAGGATTTAACAGACTTTAACCAGATCGAAGCTTCACCTACTTTGATGTTTTATCTTTTGAGGTGTCCATATTATATCTTGATACTGCTTTTCTACTATTAATAAATGTCCTTTTCTTAGAAGTTTTTCTTCTGCTTCTCCGCCTCGTATCACTACAGTGCCAAGCTCCTACTTGCTCCAGCCAGTCAGGGCTGCAAAGGCTTCTGTCACAGCCAAGAGCTGTGATCCTCCTGCCAGACTGGCTAATGACTGAGCAGAGTCATGAACTCCAGGGAATGCCCAAATTAGCATACTTGGCACTTTCCTAACCAATCACATCAGCACTAACCTGAAAGTAAGAATCCTGGAAGGATTTCTAAATCTAAAACACATTAAGTATAGAAAAAAAAAAAATACAAAAAACTTCTGTTTGTCAAAATATAACCATAGGAAAAAAACAAACCAAAAGGCCAATACCAAACTGGGAAGAAATATACTAACAAAAATTTCAATAAATATGCCAAGAGGTTATTGTCTTTTTGCTAGTAGTAAAAGACAAGAGCAATAGCATATTAAAAGAGTGATTTCTTATTTATGAAATTATCAAGTGGTCTGATTTTGTTTTTTAAGACGACTTTGAGTTCCCACCATACCCACAGCCAACTTCCACGGGATTCTTCACACTGAAGTCCCCATACCCGGCTCCTCAAGATCCTACCAACTTAGAGACATGTCATCTGACCGCAGACAGCTGACTGACCTAGAGGCAGCCCAGGCAGAGCTTGCCTGTGTGGTCAGTTCTGCTCAGGAGCACTGGCTGTCCGATGGAACTGCTCCGGCCATCCAGGTTTTCTCCTGGTCAGTGTAAAGGCAAGACCCACAAAGAAGGGTTGGAACGTGTACTGTCACACTAAGGGCCATTTCACCAGGGCTCCCTTTAATACCTGATGAACTCTGAGAATTCTGTCTGCACCCCTTTTTCTATTAAGCTGTCATGATTTACTCTTATAATTTACTTTAATCGACAGGGTTCCTCTCCTCAGTGACAGCCAAGTAATAGGACCAAGTGTGCCAGTTAAAACATCCACCTCTCCATACATTCTTTTTCTTTCTCGGGGACCTGCGTAGACTGTTTTCTTTTTTTTAAAGATTTTGCTGCAAGCACAAGATACACCGAATGAGATGGAAACAAACAAACGCTACCATCTCTAGATATGAAACAGAGCTCCCCACACCCTCATAACGGTAGGCTATCTGCTTCTGCAGAATTGCTTGCTTAACCTAAATAACTCCATTTTACCCCCTCTCTCACCTGACACAACAGCCTAGTTCCTGGAATTTACCACACCATCTGCCTCACCCCATCCTGGATGACCCCCCTTGGCTGTGACTGCTTTTGATTCAATAACAGAGAATCCTGAGCAATTGGCTGTGGGCTGTGACTGCTTTTGATTCAATAACAGAGAATCCTGAGCAATACCAACGCCATCTTGGGTAGGCAACACTCCATTCCCATTGTCAGACTATCCCCGCCTTCTGCATGAGAAACCACTGACCTTCTCATAGAAACAAAGACTGTTGCATAGAAACAGGAGCCATACACAGTGAACTATCACATGGGAACAGGAACCATACACAGTGAAAAGTTGTATACTTGATTGCTCTAATGGCTCATTTTTGGCTATTGTAACCTAGCTACCTAGCTTGCTTTGTGCACCTGGACAAACCTGTGTGCCAAAGGGATGTAGTTTTTGCCTTTAAAAACCCCACAAGACCAAGGCCCAGGGCCATTCTCCCTTGGTTGCTCCTTGAGAGACGGTCGCTGGCCAGCTGGAGTGAATAAACTGCCCTTTTCTGCACGAGTGGCGTGTAAGTGCATTCTTGCCAGAGGGTGCCTCACAACAGATAAGCTTACAAAATCAAATTTAATAGACATACCATACAAAGGGCATGTCTAGTAAATGTTTGCTTATCAAACATTTGTTTCATACTTTCAGGAATGATAATAACCTTTAGTTTTCTCAGAAACAGTTCTCTCAACTACCTTTGTGATCACGAACAGGAAAACAAACAAATAAAAGGCTTTACTCACTGCTGTTAATGATTTTCCTTTTCATGTCAAACATAAATGAGCTAATTATTAAATTCTGAGGTGCAATTACCAACTTTTGGTCTGATCTTTGTAAATTCCAGATCATCAAACTATATACCAGAAAATAATTTTAAAAGGGGGGAAGGCATAACAGAGACAAGCAACAAACCAGAGGTGGGAAAGAAAGAAAGAAAGCAAGCTCAAGGGCTCCCCAATCTTCTTCACACAGGTAAATAACGACTATGCCTATGGTGAGGTGGGAGTGAAAGAAACACCCCCCTAGTCACTCTTCTCCATCTAAAGAATGGCTTGCTTCCTCACTGCCGAACCGATGGGGACCCTACGCTGGAGGAGCTCTTTGCTGACTCAGGAAAACCTGAGGCTTTTGGGGCTCCTGCAGATGAATCTACTAGGTGCCAGATAAAATTTGACTCTTTCAAAAAACAAAGATCCTCCATCATATTTACAAGTAAATGAAATGCATCTCTTATGTTAAAACTGGCTATTCCAAACCGTATATCCAATGGTCCAAACAGAGCACCTGATGGAGCATCATCAACTTAGTGTGTCACCCATTCTCCTGCAACACTGACCTGCCACGTCCTCCTGCTACATGTTTTCATGAGAATGGAGATGACCTCAGTCAGAAAGAAAATTGCCTATATTCAGATTATAAAGCACTCTTACCTCATGTGACACAACTTGATGGTCCCCCCCCCCCATCGATATTGGTACTGACCCCAGTAAAATTATTTTACAAATCACTAATGGATCTGTGGCATTTTTTCCCTAACCTTAAGAGGTATAACACGTAAACTTTTTCACAGTAGTTGGTCATATTTTTTTTAAGACTTTATTTTTAGAGCAATTTTAGGCTCACAGAAAACTGAATGGAAGGTACACAGATCTCCCATATATGCCTTCTCCCCCCACATAAGCACAACCTACTGAGTTGATCAATTTTTTAAAAGCAAAACATGTTCATTCTGAAAAGAAATCAAGACATTATCTTAGAAAATGTAATTTCAAAATTCCAACTGCAAATTTAAAGAACCACTGTTGTACCCATTTTCATCAACACATTAGGAATGTAACTAAATACTTACCATATAACATCCAACAAGGAAAGCAGCATTTGCTTGTTTTCTCTGGTCAGAGCCAGTAAAATGAATAATTTTCTTCCTTATCATTGTAATGGACTGCATAAAAATAAGTAGCTGTTAGTATTCTCTTTTTAATTTCAAGTTTTCTAAAATTTTATTTTGTGATAAATTCCATATCTCACAACATATAAGCATTCACATTAGCTAGAGTCTACTTCAAAAACAGTAACTTTGACATTCCAAAATACCATGTACCTTCCCATAAAAGAGGAGGGAAGGGGATGTAAATAGATACATGCTTGGAGCATAGACTACCTCTGAAGGAACACATAAGAACCTGGACCAGGTGGTGGGAGAGATCTTTTCTTTCACTTTCCTACATTTTTAAAAAAAATCTATTCCCCAAACCTTCAAATTAACATAAAAGGGTATCTAGAACGGGGCAAAAATAACCCATGCTGTTTGAAGTCAGCATAGTGAATAACTGGGGAGGGGCACGCAGATAGTAACTGAAGAAAGGCACAAGCAGGCTCTTCTGGGTGCTGCCAACATTCCGTTCTTCCTCTGATGATCCAGACAATTACCCATGAACATTCAATTCGTGAAAATTCATTGAGATGCACACTCATGATCTGTACATATTTCTGTATGCCTATTATTCTTCAATAAAAAGTTAAAAACAAAAAGGACATAGAATTTAAAAATAAAAGGAGCATGAACACAAAACTTCATTCAAACTCCTGATACACTTTTATCACTACTGATTGAATTGGCAGTAGTGTTTCAATCAGCAGTGTTTCAAACAGTCAATATGTTCTAGTAGATGATTTAAAAAAAAAAAAAAAAAAGGGGACTGATACATTTTTTGTTGACCCAAAGAGTGAAAGTCCACAGACAGCTGAACATGGAAAAAATTCTTTCAAAATTAAAGCAAAGGAAAAAAAAAATGGGGGATGGGGGGGTGGAGGGATTATTTTTAACTTCCTAGCCCTGTATGAAACAAAAGACCTGCCACTGGCTGGAAAAAGGGAGGAGGGAAAAAAGGCCAACAATGTTTACATTCCTATTTGAGAAAGTCTAGAAAGAAGAGTTTCCATCTCTGTATAAAATTGTAGTGAACATAGTTTGATGCTCAAGAAAAAAAAAATCTGCCTTAGTCATAAATTTTTAATGAAAGTAAATTACAATTTTAATTAAAAATAAATTTGGGGGCTGGCTGGTTAGCTCACTTGATTACAGTGTGGTGCTGATAAACACCAAGGTCAAGGGGGTTCAGATCCCCTTATGGGCCAGCTGCCAAAAACAAACATACAAAAGTCTGTGCAGGCCAGACTATAAAAATAAAGAAATCAAGAAAGAAAGAAATTTTATCTCTTCTGTGTACTAGTCTGGTAGATAATCAATTGAATGAAATTGATTTTTAAAAAGTACCTGCTTCAAAATACAGCGCTTTCTTCTTGAGCACTTACAGTGACTGATTTGCAACTGCTAGCAAACAGTACATTTCTCATTGTGCATAACCAATACTTCAAAAAATTTTAAGTAAATGAATGGGGTCTAAGTTCAAACCAACAGAAATACACTTTAGTGACTCTCAGCTCGCAGCCTTTAGGACGTGTGTCTGCCTGCGCTTTTTCCTGATCCCTCATCAAAGCGAGTAGTCACAACAAGCACCAGGCGGTAGTTAGAAGACAGGAGAGAAAGCACCTCCAGCCCATTTTTATCTGCTAGCATTCCCCACCACAATGAAGGCCGAAAGAACAACGACCAAAGCAAGGGAAGAGTTTCTCTTGTTAGGTTTCAGTTCCACTGGGTCAGACAGTAAGAGGTTCATTTAATTAACCAATTTCCAATTTGGCTTTTCAAGTACGTATTTGATTACTACCAACCCAAACCAGAACCAAATGACCCAAACTTCACCTGTTCAATTAAAACTCTAGAAAACAAATATATGCACTATGACTTTATAAAGCAAAAAACCACACCACTACAGTGAAAAACACGGCATTTCCTTTTTAAAAAGAGATATGTTTTCCTTACTCTTCTCCCCAAGATCAAGCTAACAATCCTTACTTAATCTGAATCTTAAGTAAAAAAGACTTTACCTTTAATTTCTTATTTATCTTGCAACAATATCTGTAAACCATTGCCAGATTGAGCGGTCCAAAATCTGCATAGAAGCTTCAAAAATGAGAAATAAAAGCATGTATGTATGTATATTCTAGATGTTCTTATTATAAATGACTTTTGGGGGCTACAAAATCAAATCAAGACAAGAAAGCACACACCAAACTGTTATGGCTCATACTATTAAAAAAATATTCTGGCAAATGCTTATTAAAAAATGCAACAGGGCTGGCCAGTTAGCACAGTTGGCTAGCATGTGGTGTTAAAACACCAACATCAAGGGTTCGGATCACGCACTGACCAGCCACCAAAGAAAAATAAGTAAATAAATATATAATAAAATTAAACTAAAAATGTAACATTCCCTCACATGGCTGCAGATTGAAAAATAAAAGAACATATAAAAAAATGCAACAAGTGCTACAATGCTTAAATCTAACACCAATTAACATGAAAATACCTTCTAAAGTTAAAAGGCTGTTTTTCCACACATATTTTCCACTGGCAAAACCCAATCTCTTAGTGCATGTTTATCTTACTAACATAAACTATTAGAGTAATAAACTAAATATTTAAACTTGGGAAGGTTCTTTCATTTAAACTTTTTCCTAAAGATCTATTTTATTACCAATGGTTTAAAAAAGCATCCTGCAATTAGCAATCAATAGATTTATAATCTTCCAAGGCTACCCTATTTATAAACATCACTTTAGATTCCTCAAAATAAAAAAGAACCCTACTAACAATCTTTTAAAAAGCAATACTTACCTCTCATATTCAAGTTCATTATCTATGCTGAAATAATGTACATTTGGTGCACTCTTTGGTCTGCTGTAGAGAATGGCAAAACAAAGGCGATCTGAAATGGAAAAATTGCAATGTTCCTTCCTCCAAGTTATTAAGAAACGTTTCCTATATGGTGCAACTCTTTTCAGATGAAGTCAAATGTTTACTTTTTCCATGTGTGTTTCAGATGGTGAGGGGTGGCAATATGCCGTTTCCAAATACTCTGGCTGTTCTGGAGGGTGATAATAAATAAGAAAATTGTCTACAGGAGAAATTGCCCTTAACCTGAAGCGTGACCAGTGGCCAGAGACTTTAACGTGGTGACAATGTTTGGTTTCTGAAGGAACCTCTCAGCACACGTTTCAGCCAATGGCAGCATGCACTTGGTGGCATGCCATCAACCTTCTAGGTGACTTTCACTATGTTTTAAGACATTCTAAAAAGTCATCTCAGCAAGTGACTCTTTTTCAAGGAAAGAAAAAAAACCTTCCAAATTAGCTTCAAAATCACCGTTTACACCAATGGGGCACAACCAAACAGGCCACATGTTCACGCCACCGTCCTTAAGGTTCCCTACTGATTCTGGAGCCGCCGCTGTGGCATTTCTACAAGTGCACAAATGACCATGAAGACAGAAGCGACGAGAGGCCGAGGGTCGGGTGAGGTCAGGCCGCGGGGAGGGTCGGCGCGGGCGCCCACGGGAGCAGGGCCCGGCCCCGCCGTCCCCCCGTGAGACGCTGCCTCCAAGCCCTCGGTGACACAGTCACTCGCGACGCCTAAGAGCGGCGTTAGCGGCCGGGCTGGGGGACCTTCACGCGCACGCTTTGGGCAGAGCGCCCGGGGAGACCCGAGCGGGAGTTCAGACGCCGGGGTCCGTGGTTCAGCTCCCGAGACTGTCGCCCGAGTCCCTCGGGGCGCGGGCGCACTCACCTCGGATCACCTCCACCAGCCGCGGGGCCCGGCCGCCCTCCCGGCTCATGGCCGCGGACCACACCCCCAAGTTCGCCGCCGCCAAGTGCGAAGGGCCGAAGGGCCGCGCCCCCCGGAAGCGGGTGGCTCCTCCCGGCGACGGCTCCTCCCCACGGCGGGCCCAAGGGCCCGAACCCGGCCCCCGCACCCCGAGCCCGGCCCCCACACCCCCCGCACCCAAAGCCCGGCCCCCACAC